TCTTTAAGGGCCGATGTTGACGATGATCAGGTGTTATCTAATCCCGGTGCCCAAGATCCACCTGTTCAGCGATTCCGAGAACGAGAACTACTGAAGGAGCCCTCTGGCCCCAGCCAGCATGGACATACTGTAGAGCAGGCTGAGCTTTTCTTGCAAGATACCCCACGGCCGCCCAGCTCAGCAAGCTCATTCCCAACATCGGTATCACCACTAGCCTCAGAAAACACAGTGCACGATGCCTTCTGGGGCCAGTTGTTTTTGATATCTCTCGCGGGATTGTTTGCTTCTGCATTTCTTGTGTATCTTCACACATCTACACCATCTGGAGACAAATCAAGATGGGGCGATACAATATACATGACTGTCCATGGATCTTTCTTCCTCCTTGGGATATATACTATTGTATCAATTCTTGTGTCCCTCCTTTGGTTGGCCTTACTACGATCCTATGTGCGACTTCTGGTCCATGTGATTCTAGTCGCCGTTCCCACTATCTTATATTCATTCTCCTTATATCCTTTCATCTCAAGTTTCAAGGGGCCATGGCATGGGGCAAGCATCCAAGACAAGGCGATGAGATGGGGCTCTGCTGTCCCGTTTCTCATAGCTACCATGTGGATCTACAATATTGTGCGTGGCCGTCAGTCTATAGGGAAGGCCATAGGCATTCTTGAATTTGCCTGTCGAATCTTGGCTGCCAATCCCGAGCTGCTTGCTCTTGGTCTGGGTGCCTTGGTCTGCGTTGTTTCCTGGACGTGGATCTGGATGCTGATGTTCACTCGAGTCTTCTTGGGTGGTCATCTTGTTAGCTCAAAATCGTTCATCATTGACGTGGGGAGCTGGTGGCTGGGTATCTATTTCATCGTTGTTTATCTATGGTCGATCGGCGTCATCGCAGGCATCCAGCGTGCTGTCACCGCTGCAACAGTGAGCCAGTGGTATTTCCATCGTTTGACTACACCTGCTCCAACCTCGAGGCAAATTGTTCAGGCAGCTGTCGTTCACGCCGCCACAACTCTCTTCGGCACGATCTCTTTATCCAGACTACTAGGGCTGCTGGTTCGACTTCCTCTTCTCTTGTTACCAGGTCGCATCTCCTCGTTGCTCAGTCTGTTTGCCTATTCACTCGTCCCCACCCCAATTACTTACTTGACCAATCCTCTATCTCTCACCTATGCAGCGATTCATTCGCAGCCTCTTGCCGCTTCCTCCCGGGGGTTGAGCCAAATGGCTATCCTTGCCCCATCGGCGGCGTCAACGTCTTTACACCCCCGTTCATATTCTCAGTCCCCCGGGAACTCGGAGTCTCTACTCTCATACCGGCTGTCCAAGTTGATCCTTTACGCTGCGCGTTTCATGATGTCTTTGGCCTTAGGGTTCGGTGGTTGGGTGACCACTGCTCGGAGTCTGACAACCTCTGCGTCCAGTGGCACCATTCGTGGTAGTCTCTATGCCTACGTCGTCGGCCTTATTGCTGGGACAATTGGCTGGACCACACTGGGTGCGATGGAAGGTGTGATCGCAGATATTGTAGATGCAGCGGTGATTTGCTGGGCAAGCGAAGTCGGTATTTACGGCAGAGAAGCCCGGTATTGCCGCGAGGCTGGTTGGCTCTTTGGTGATTCGCAGCCTCGCTTCGGACATGAATATCAAGAGGTCTAGGTCAGGGTGTTTTTCTTTTTCTTTCTATTTCTTTCTTTTTCTTCATCTTATAAGTCCCTACCTCATGCACCATTTCGTTGTACAATTGAGCGGGTTATAATGATTCCATATGCTTTAGCGAAATTCTTTTTTTGGAAGACTTGACAGGCAAATACATTCTGCATTTACATCTCGGTTGCAAGCGATACCAAAACAACTCTTTGAGAAAATAATGTATTCTTTTGCATCCCCCATGGTATATTCGAATTGCAAATAGCTACATGAAAATCCAGGGCTCGTGGTATCATGAGAAAATATAAAGGGAAAGGCAATGACCTGAGCGGAAAAAAAACAAGGCCTCCCCTGAGACGCCATATGAAGCATGTTCCGAGTGACAGGAGAAAAAGAAAAAGGAGACAAATATAAAAGATGAATTAGAGACCAAGACGTCCACTCCACTCCACTCGTTCTTTCGAGCACCATTCTTTCAGCAGGGACCAGCCAAACCGAACCACTTCGATGGGCGGGGTAGTGCCACTAAGTGGTAGGAAATAGCTTCCAGCATAGTCGCCAGCCTTGAGAGATGATCGACCTCTTTCCGAGTAATTTCGAGATCGCTGGGACCAGATCGTTGGGAAATCACGACCAAGGACATCTTCAGAGAGACCCCGGGTGCCCTCTATCCATAGCCTCTGGGACTCTTTGTAGCACTCAGGAAGACGAGCCTTCAGCTCGGAAAATTCCTTTCTGCTTTTCCTGTTCTCATCCGACAGGGCTGCGTTTCCATCACTCCCAGGGGTGGGAACCGGGGTGTGCTCTCCGGGAATTGGGGTTATCGCGAGGCGTTCAAGATCAAGAGTGTGGATGGCAGTGAAGGACACAGCCCCAAGGAGCAAGCAGAGACTGTTCAATGCCGGATAAGATACACTGTTCTTCCTGACCACACGCCAGTATGGCACAATAGACAGCCATGTGGAGGAATCCCCGACCTGGCGTGATGAAGCTTTGGCCTGATCGTTCGCTACAAACGCCATAATGAAGGACAACAACGCTTCGATTGCAGTCACAACGGCTAACTTTTCGTCGGTGACTGAGGTCCCGGTTTTAGAGGTATGCCGCTCTGCGGCATGTTTCAATTCACGGCCGATACTCGCAAACTTTTGCCACTCATCCCACCATACCTGCCGTTCATTGCGCGTACGGCCATCTGCCTGTGCCGGAGAAGCTTTCATGATTGACCCGGGATCGACGGAATGACGCTTGTTGGCGGGATAAGAAGGAGTTCTGCCATCGGTCTCTCCGAGCTCGTTTCGACGAGAGGTGGGAGGTTTCAGGTCTTTCAGATCTTTCACCGGTGTGATCGAAGCTGCTTTTGTTTTGTCATTGGCGATTGAATGAGAGGTCAGGTGTGCCTGAGGAACCGGCGTTCGAGGCTTTTCGGGGAAGCTTTTCGGCTCCTTTGAGCGACCATATTGAGAGGCAAGGGGTTCACCAGTATCATGTTTCTTGCCTTTCAGATCCCCGAATGTGTGCCCACGAGAGGAACTGGTATCTCCTCCCTTTTTCCTGAAATGGGAGACATCATCACGATCAGTATCCTGGCTGACCGGTGAATCTGACAGATGTGCTTTCCTTTTACCAGAGAATTTAAGCAAAGCCTCGACACGCTTTCGGTTCGCTCTTCCGTACCGCAGTTTGGTAAGAAGCTGCGTCTTTTGTGGGTCGGCACGGGCGTGGTCTCTTGGATGTTCGTGGGTATTGGATTCTTTGGCAGGCAATCCCTTTCCTGCCCGACTATTGCGAGACGGTGAACGGTCCTCAAGGCGGGCCAACTCCTTTTCAATATCTGGAGGGAGGGTAGGAGACAGCAAGCGCGGAAGTCTGGGACCACCCGATGTCGGTGGGAGAGTAGGCGAAAGAAGTGCGGGTAGCTTGGGGGAGTGCGATTTGGCAGGGCTGGGCTGTCGGCGTGTTTCTTTTTCGGGAGACAGTCGCAGTTTCTTTGTAGTATGTGCCTCGGACTTCTTAGTCACTGAGGGGTTAGGGAATTCATGTTCCGACCCAGATGGCCGTTTCTGGCCCGCTCTTTCGGGAGAGAGACGCGCATGTGACTTCGGCGGCATTCGAGGCATTTTAGTCTTATCGGTATTCTTGGGAGGCTCCGAAGGTGTCATCTGTCGTCTTTCCTCGGGCTTGGCGGAGTTTGATGCGCCTCGGCTGCCCGCTTCGAGGCCAACGGGGGATGCGACAGCGACACTGGTCTTCTGGGTCTTGTAGTCCTTGAGACTAATTTTCTTTTTGGCCACGGTTTCTCTTGAACTTTCTCCAGCGCTTGGGGCTGTCGACCGATCGGTCATCATGCGCCCCGTTTCGTCTGACCAGTCCCCGACGGCTAGAAGCAATGAGTCTGTGTCGTGGTGTGTCAAGAAGGTCATATATTGTAGTTGCTGCTCCTCCAAGCTGAAGGGTCTGTCATGCCCTACAGCCCAATTGTTGGCGGACCGGTTTCCCAGGTTAAAGGGCGTTTTGGTCGGAAATGTGAGTAGATATGGAACGGGGGGAAGGACGTCGTCAGAGAGGCGCTGCAATCGTTGGTCAAGCACTTCACGGTCCGACGTGGGGGAACTTGCAGCTCGGGGGGTTGTAGTGGTTTGGGAATGGCGTTTCTCGTTCACCGACATCGCAGTGCGCAGGGTTTCGCGATTTGTTCTTCCACAAGAGATGCTGGTATAATACGCGCTCCAAGCACAATTTGGGGCAAAGTCTATCACCGGTTTCTGTTTCTCAAGTCGGTATGGCAAGCTGCCTGGTGATAGTCAACGCATTGGGTCAAGTGAAGGATAGTGGATGTACAAGATCCGGCCTTGTTCAGGTGCCGAATAATCAGGGCATCCTATCACTATCGCGCGTGGGGGGTGTTCCCATAACCCTGGGGTTTCGAAGTCGCGCAATTGGGAGGGAGAAATAAACACAGTCGAGGTAATAAAGAAAAAGTGGGATGTGTCACAATGAGAGGGTGACCTCTTTCCATGAAGGAGCGAGAGATGGGAAATGTCCCCGGATAGAATGAAAGAGATGAATTGGAGAAGGTTACGTTAGGGCGGTTACGGTGCCTGTTGCTTATCGGCTTATCGTTACCGTATAATTTCATTACAGTACAAGGTACTCCGTATAAATGTGTATGTACTGGCATAGCTATATATCATTGATGAACGATTTGAGCTATGTTATATATATGTATATATGTTATATATGTAGGATGTATGTACCTTGTCATCTTGACAAACAAGCAAGGAATGAATCTATCTATAAGAGTTCAATGTTCTTATGCCAGGTTTGTTCCTAGAACCTCTCAACATTCAGGAACGATCATCCTCTGCAAATTTCTCACGCCAGAAGGCACGGTAATGTTTCTGCTCCCCTATCTTAGAGATCTCGTCAACCTCTTGCGGGGTCAATTTGAATGTAAATGTGCGCAGATAGCTGTTTAGGCGGGCTTCTTTGCCACTGGTGGTGATAGACACACAGCCACGGTCAATGATCCAGCGTAACAGGATCTCGGACTCGCTGACTGCATATTTGGTGGCCAAAGAAGAGAGCAGGGGGTCTAATGGCCCGCCCTGTGCCCGGGTGGCAGGGGTGAGGCCTCCATAACTAACAGTCTTGATACCTTTACCCTCTTGGTAGGGAACAAGATTGCCATGTTGAAGGTAAGGGTGGAACTCAATTTGATTCACAGATGGTACCACTTTAGCGGTTTCAAGAATGGTCTCCAAGTCGCTTTGTAGGAAATTGGACACACCAATAGACCGAGCTTTCCCAGATTGCTTTACTTGCTCCATGGCAGCCCAGGCAGCTTGAAGCTCTTCCTTGGACTTTGCAAAGTACGGAGCATGGATCAAGTAACTACTCCAATTATTAGAAGTGGTTCCCGATCGAGCCATTAGTCACACCACGCTGGAGTTCACCTACAGATCCACATAGTCAAGCTGGAGCTTCTTGAGACTAGTATCAATGGCCTGAGGAATATCGGCGATATTGGGGAGGACCTTAGTCGTCACGATGAGTTTCTCACGAGATACCCCGCTCTCTTTGATTGCCTGTCCCAATTCCTCCTCGGTTTGGTAGATTTCAGCTCCATCGAGGTGGTGGTATCCTAGTTTCGTTGCCGTCTTGATTGATTCGACCAGTTCATTATTGATACCGGTGTCGGACTTCTTAAACCACGCGGTGCCAGTACCATATCCAACCTGGATTTGTTAGAGAACATTGCCGATATCATGTGGGGTAATGGTGGGTTTACTCACGACAGGGACCGAGGTACCGTCGTTGAGGTCCAATGTAGGAATAGACGAAATAGTGTTTGCCATGGTTCTAAATTGGTTGAAAAGGGGCAAAATATAGGATGATGACAAGATGTTGTAAGGGGATACTTTCGACCAGGGCGTGGTACCTCATGGCGCTGTCCACGGGTGGGCCTAGACAATGATTAATAATTGTCAATTATGTCATTTCTAACTCCCGCTCTCGCATATTTCCCGAGGTTAGTATCTACTACTATCTTCACTTGGATTCATATCCTTGAGCAATTACTTGATCTCTCTCTCTTTCTCTCTCTCTCTCTCACTTTCTCTATGAACTTTCGTGTGCTCACGTGTTCAAGAAATCGGTATATGTTTCCACGCACCAACGTTTGGTCACCGTCAGTTCGGAATCGTTTAAACAAGATGGTATCACATCTTTCAACTGCCGGGGTCTCCCTGGCTGAATTACCGAAATCAAAGGTTTTCACTTCTAAATTGCCGTCTGATCCGGCTTTTGATACACCGGAATCCTCGCATAAGGCCCCAAGGGAAACTTTGGGGCCTCGCATGGTCAAAGGAGCTTTGTTCACATACATTCGCCCAGAACAGACCGATGAGCCAGAACTACTAGGAGTCAGTTTGAAAGCGATGAAAGACTTGGGATTGAAACTAGGCGAGGAACAAACATCGCGATTTAAGGCGCTGGTCGCCGGGAATGAGATTTGGTGGAACGAGGAACAGGGTGGAATCTACCCATGGGCACAGTGTTATGGAGGTGAGTATCCACGTTTTCATGCATGAGAAATGCAAAGAGACTAACATCCGCAGGGTGGCAATTGTAAGCTGCGAAAGAAGCTCGAGATACAACGTTAACGGCTGACAACATACAGCGGTTCATGGGCCGGACAACTTGGAGACGGGGTCAGTCAATAAGTTAACCTACGAATGAGTCCTCAGCTCACTAGAGATACTAATGACCGGCAAATTAGCGTGCAATCAGTCTCTTCGAATGCACCAGCCCGCAGACAAATACGCGATATGAGCTGCAACTGAAAGGAGCAGGCAAAACACCCTATTCGCGTTTCGCAGACGGGAAAGCTGTCCTCCGGTCAAGTATTCGTGAATACGTGGTCTCAGAAGGTAAGAATCCTTGCATGAAACCCAAAGACAGACCATTGAAACCTTGACAGCTCTCTCTGCCCTCGGTATACCAACCACTCGGGCACTCTCACTCACCTTGGTCCCCAATGCCAAGGTATTGCGAGAGCGTCTTGAACCAGGAGCAATTGTTGCTCGGTTTGCTGAGAGTTGGTTAAGAATCGGCACCTTTGATCTTCTTCGCGTTCGCGGAGACCGTGAGCTGATCAGAAAGCTTGCGACATATGTTGCAGAAGACGTTTTTAGCGGGTGGGAATCCCTTCCCGCCATTGTATCGCTGCAGGACCAGCAGTCCTCCACCCAAATCGATAATCCCCAAAGGGGTATCCCCGGTGATCAAGTACAAGAACACCAAGATGTACAAGAAAACCGATTTGCTAGACTGTATCGAGAAATCGCTCGCCGCAATGCTAAGACAGTGGCCGCGTGGCAGGCCTACGGCTTCATGAATGGCGTGCTGAACACCGACAACACATCTATTTACGGCTTGTCGCTGGACTACGGCCCATTTGCGTTCATGGACAACTTTGACCCCCAGTACACCCCGAACCATGATGACCATATGCTGCGATATGCCTATCGCAACCAACCCAGCATTATCTGGTGGAATCTGGTCCGACTCGGGGAGTCACTAGGTGAGTTGATTGGGGCTGGAAACCGGGTTGACGAGGAAAGCTTTGTCAACGATGGGGTGACGGAGGAGTTTGAACCAGAACTCGTCAAACGCGCGGAGAAAATCATTGAGCGTGTGGGCGAAGAGTTCAAAGCAGTATTCCTAAACGAATACAAGCGCTTGATGGGCCAGAGGCTAGGACTCAAAACACAAGCTGAGTCGGACTTTCAAAATCTTTTTTCAGAAATGCTAGACACACTTGAAGCACTCGAACTGGACTTCAACCACTTCTTCCGTCGGCTTTCAGGGCTGTCACTGTCTAATCTGGAGACCGAAGAAGGCCGAAGGGAAGCAGCCTCGGTCTTCTTCCACGCCGAAGGTTTCGGTGTGATTGGATATACCGAGGCTACAGCTAGAGATCGCATTGCGAAATGGCTGGATGGTTGGCGGCTTCGCGTCCTAGAGGACTGGGGCCCAGCAAACGACGAGGAAAGACAAAAGGCTATGAAATCCGTCAACCCGAATGTAAGCCCCTATCAAAAAAAAAAAAAATTCAAGTCCGGTGCAGATTGACTAACCCATTGATAGTTTGTTCCTCGAGGGTGGATTCTCGACGAGGTCATCGAGCGTGTGGAGCGCAAAGGCGACCGAGATGTTCTAGGTCGGATCATGCAGATGTCTTTGAACCCGTTCAACGATGAATGGGATCTTCATAAGGAAGAGGAAGAGCGTTTCTGTGGGGATGTCCCCAAGTTCAAGAGGGCTTTGATGTGCAGTTGCAGCTCGTAATCAAGCTATGAGCGCTACGCAGATCTGAACTCTCTAGAAGGCGAGTGTATAATATGGGGTCATTTTGTGGAATCAGAGCCGATTTGAGCTATATAGCAAATGCCGTCGACTCCCGCGAGATAGGCTCAGAGAATTAAAATGTGCAAATACAAATACGAGTATTTGCCAGGCTCCCTACTTCACATTTTATACGCGTTATCATAAAACCCGAGAATTACCAAATAACCTAGGTAGGAGACATCAAAAGTTAGATCATGTTAACCTTGTCAGGTGTTGATCTCTAATCATACATTTTCGGGAAAAAAAGGGAAATTCGTTTCGTGCATGCATGAAATATGTCGTCCAATCCCATGGAAACTGTAGAAAGATGTTGACCAAAAGAGCAATGCAAGCAATGGGCACCTTAGTTAGGGCAAGCGGACTGAACGTGGCCGGGCTGCTTGCACTTGTAGCACATGCGCTCACCCTTGGCCTCGGTGGGGCAGTCGCGAGAGACGTGGCCGACTTCGCCGCCTAATCATGAGTTAGTAGCAGATTCCAGAGAAAGCGAGAAACCCGAGATGACTGACAGTTGTAGCACTTCTGACCCTGAGTGCAGTCACGAGCCATGTGGCCGAAGCCACCACAGGAGTAGCAGGTCTGTTGGCGACCACCGGCACCACCGGGGCCACCGAAACCACCACCGTAGCCGCCGGCGCTGTAACCACCACCGTAGTTACCACCCTGAGAGCAGTTGCGCGCAATGTGGCCGACCTGTCCGCACTTGTAGCACTCCTGGGAACCACCACCGCTGTAGTTGCTGTCACCACCTTGGGGGCATTCGCGAGAAAGATGTCCGGTCTGGCCGCAACGGTAGCATGACTTCTCCTTGGCGGGTTCCTGGCATTCACGGCCTTTTTTTTGGAAAAGTTAGTCAAGTATAACTATCGTCTGCGACATTCAATTTCAAACTTACTCAAGTGACCTTGGCCTGTAATTGTGATTGACTTGATTAGCGAAGTTCTGATGACCAGTCCAGATGTCTAATGGACGAATTTGAGCTGAGCATACCATTGCAGTTGTAGCTGTTTAACTGAAATTAGCTTTTGAATTGAGAGACGAGAGGTGTGAAGGGGATTTACCAGGTAGGGTTTCCCTTCTTGGGGCAGTCCTTAGCCTAGAAAGAGCAGATAAGCCTCATGTCCTCTTCTTCTTCTGCCTTTTTTTTTTTATATATATTCAAATTTCAGAGTCGGGTAAAGGTTGTAATTACCTGGTGAGAAGCCTCGCCGCCTATGAAGAAAGAGGGTGTTAGTTAAATAAAATAAAAAATAAAAAAAAACAACACAAAACAACCAAATCAGGTATCAGGTATCAAGTTGCGCAATAGAAGTCGCAAGAGAGCCCAGATCCAATTTGAATATCCCACAAGCTCCAAGTGAATATGACGTATTCACAGGGATTTGAATTGACTCCAGTTCGCAGAGAAGAACATACAGTTGAAGCAGCCACCACGTCCGGCAGGAGGGAAGTCCATATTTGAATAAGATTGGGGGATGTGTTTTATAGAAAAAGGAATAAAAAGTGAAGAAGTTGAAGAGTCTGCAAAAAAATAGATTGTAGTGCGGGGAGAAATCTTCCCGTAAAGCTGACCGCCCTGAAAAGAGAGAGAGAGAGAGAGAGAGTTGATTTGGGGGAATTTGGCTTCTTTTTCCCCTTCTTCCCTCTCATTGATTCTTTGTTTTCTTCTGTTCTTTTCTGCCAGTTTCATCCCGGTCATCAGTATATATAATGGAACTCATCATGAAATGCAGAAAATGCCTATCCCCTTTTTAATCCTCTCTAAAGGTGTTATGGATGATACCTGAGACGGAAGAATACAAAATGGAGGGGAGAGAGATAGAAGTCAAGAACCAAAATTGAGGATCCAACCTTTTATATAGGGGAACAGCCCCTGTCCTGCCAGGGTCCCCAGTCCAGGTTGAGTACCTTGTGCTACCGAATGCTACACCTCAGGCTTGGGATGCTAATGCAAAGTTCAAAGGGTTCTTTCTTCTTTTCTCTGTTATTAGCATACCTTGATATAGAGAGAGAGATATATATAGCCATATGTAGATATATAGATACACTTTGCGTTAGGTAAAGTCATAACACTCAAGTAACTGTGTTCCAGTCTTTTCTCGAAGGAGAAGTACCCGTTCTTCGTCAAATCCGATAGGCAGGGTCAATTCCTGGCATTCCACATTTAAACGGCCCAAACTGTGGGAAATCGTTCCTAGTCCTGGCTCTGGCTCCTCATCCTTGTTGCCAGTATTGCCAGCGTTGAGCGGAACACCGTTCTCCTCGAAGAATTTGCGGCTACCTAGGGATGAGATCGCCATCTCTAACTCCCATATTCGAATCTCATCCCCTCGAGAGCTTACAGAAACGGCTTTCCCGCGGTTGGTCACCTGAACAGCAGATACGGAAGAGGTATGGCCCCAAAGTCGCCGGCCGCCTTGGACGAACACATTCTCCGATGTAGATACCACAAGGTACATGGTCAACGTGTTGTCGGCATGAGAGGTCAGCAAATACGGATGGGAATAGGACATGGAAGTTGGCGGCTGTTGATGTATGATAGACGGTGCCCTAGGGTCGATCCCAGGTGGATTGTCGACCGACTCGCCTACAGAGTGTCGCCTTTTTCTGGATTGAAGTGGCCTCAATCCATATTGGGAATCCACTGTAGTAGCCAGTCGGGAATCAAGTTGTTGCCCATCTTTGCCTAGACGTAATTCTTGGATCCCCAGAGACCACCCACAACCGATGTGGAAGAAACTATACACAATAGTAGCGACAATCTCAAAGGACGAGACCCGGAGAGATAGCGTCATGGGCGCAACGATGTTATCTGCCTTGAGGGAGGCAACCTGGCGGGGCTCCGAGGCCTCGGCGGTTTCCCCGGCTCGATGGCTGCCAGATCGTAGACTGTACAATGTCAAATCTTTGTGACGGGATACTATCATTAAATAGGGCGACGAGAGAGCCATTGCCGTTATCGCAGCATCACTGTAGCCGACATGAGAGGACTGCAAGTCTAGCTGGGACGTTTGAAGATTTAAGACGAAGAGGCTGAAGTGACCATTTTCCAGTCCGACGGATATCTCGATCTTATCTTGGATCTGGCTTACTGCCAAGGCGGTTGGGGTTATAGGAGATGATTTTGATGGAGCTGACAAAGGGATTCTTGCAAGACAACATGCTGAATCTCTTGTGGTCCAAGCCCGGAGCCCGTGCGCTGAATCTGCCGTGAAGACAATCCCACCACAAAATCTGATCAGCGTAGGAGGGCATGGTGGCTGAGGAAACTCTACCTCAGTGACCCGGCATAGCCCTTTGGACCAATTATGCCGAAGCCGATACTGCCGTTTCCAATTGCCCTCCTGTGCCAAGTGCCCATGATCGAACCAGGTGGCGACCTTGGGCGAATAATCTGTCTTGGTTGGAAGGGTTGTGCGTCTAGTATTTGCGAGGCGGCGGGCACGGGGTCGCACCCATTCCGAGTAATATTGCCTTTTCCAGATCTCAGAGTCCCCACCAAGAGCATGAAAGCGATGTGATAACCTAGTTGAGGTAGCAAGTCAGCGAAACCTCCAAGAAGAACCGACGAAAATAGGAGTGTATATATATACCTTTGACACACGTTAAGGGATGATACTGGTAAAAATGAAAGGATATGAAGCAGCAACTCATTGCTCAGACGAGACAGACGATCAACAGGCCCAATATCGTTTTTAGTGCGGGTCCGCTTTTGCGGTAGATCGGAGTCCCAAGGGTCTCTGTACCGTTTGGACATACTGTCTCAGGCTAAAATAAACTTGTGAGGAGACTAGGAAAATGAATCATAGAAATCATTCCGCATGCTTTGAGGGACACATTGGTTGAAAGTGGAGGATCAATTGCAGGTGGAGTCGGCCCCGAGCCACCGAATCTTATCAGTACGTGATAAGCTCACGTGTGCCCATTTGGCCTCGACGCGTCGTCGCGTTTATATCGCTTTGCCCGACAGAGCGTCTACAGCTGGTTTTCTTTTTCCTCTCTCTCACGATTCATATCACTTCACTCAATGGTACACTAGAAACTGCACAATGGAAGTTGTCAAGGAGCTCCATGCTGCTGTGGCAAATGCCTGCGAGGCCTCCTTCGACAATGCCTATAAACACATGAAATCCCATATTGATGCACACGCCAAAGAGGCAGAAATTAAAGAATCATTGGCCAGCCAAGCCCAGCGACGATTAGAGATCAGAATCCGAGAACTTGAGCATGATATCACGGTACTCCGGAGTGAGCTGCAACAATATGAAGTTGATCCACGGGATCTTGAACTTCCCGGGGAATATGCCAATCTAGAGACCGAATTTGACCCAAAGAACCTGTGGGGGGATGGCCTGGATGATGATGATCACACTGTTCGGAAGTCTCGGAAAAGAGTTGAGGCCAGATACACCGCGCTTTATACGAATTTACAGACCTTCATCCAAACTTGGAGTGGTCTCAAATCTCGAGTGTTGCAGCATAAAAAGAAGTTACGGCGATGGGATCAGCAATTAAAGCGTGGAGAATTCTCGCTTGTTCTCAATGGTCAACCCGTCACATTCCGCAGAGTGGAAAGTCCCACCCCCGAGGATGTCGACGGAAAACACTCGGAGGCGCAAGGCTTTTCGAAGAAACGTCCAAGAGAGGAGTGTACAGATCTTCCTGCCAAGGCCATCAGGTTGTCACAACGAAGGTCCTATGCAGATGATGTGCATGCAGATATAAGAGTTGAAGATGATAACCAAAGAGTAATTCACGGCTTAACATCAAAGCTGGCCTCCACTCAGTGTAACTCTCCTAGACCCGATATGGAACCCTCGGAATCTTCTGATACACTATGTCTCATATCCAATGTCCCCCGGCAGCAGCCTCCGCAGAGGCCCTCCCCAACACTTCCCGGCAGGCATCTCGTGCATACCCAGCCGGCGGCCATGAGCTCAGGGCGCTCTACAGTTGTCAAAAATGAAATCTTGTCCTCGAGTCCAACCCGAATCGGTTCAGTGCGCAACAGTGAACAGCCGTTTGTAAGCACGCAAGATCTTGATGAGATAGGAGACACGATACGCACACCAATCAAACGGAAAGCCTACAGGGATGTCAATATTGCAGGCGCTTGGAATTCAGAGAACAGTACAAATAACGCAAATTACTCAAAGCGAATTTCACTAGGCCAGCAAACATCTCAACAGTCATCTATACTTCAACCAGTTGACGGCAACACACGCAGGGCCACATTCTCTGCACAGGGGTGTTCCACGAAACGCCTTCAAGATCTGGAGCAACGCGCAATACCGGCTCTGGCGGAAGATGGTGATGGTGATGGTGATGGTGATGGTGATGGTGATGGTGATGGTGATGGTGATGCGACATCTTTGCGGATGTCTTCGAAGATAGGCCCCGGTGTCAATGTTGGACCGTCGGAAGCAAAGACAAATGGTGGGTTTGCACAGAGACGTCTGGAAAATCTTCTAGAACGATCGGTACCATCCAAATCACCGCTTCATTTATTGAGCAAAGTCTTCGACCCGGACTCAACAAGGGCGAACTATACACCGCACAGTGATCAAACAACACCCAAGGCGTCGAGTCAAATGGCTCCAGATATAGACCCTGATGATGAACCATTCAGGGCAAGACCTCTTCGTCGTCTTGGGTTGGGACATTTCAAAATAAATCCGGCTAGAAATCAAGGGCTTGATTACGCATATGATGCAGTTGTCCGAAAGAAGGATGACCGCAAATGCATATCAGGTTGTACTCGCCCAGGATGTTGTGGGGATCGTTTCCGGGCCATGGCCCGCCTTGGGGGCCTCCCCGGTAAATCTGGAGCAGAGCAAGAGGAAGAAGACCAGGCAATTCTACAAGAGTTTGTGGGAGAAGATACACAATTGCTTCGAAACATGAGCGGCAAAGAGCGTGAAAATCTCCTGGTGGAAGCGAGAGCCAGGGCCCTGGCCAACCAATATGGACGACATCGGCATACTCACCAGCGGGCTCAATCCCCTCCTGGCTTCTGGCGGACTGATATGCCAGACACACAAGAGGTGGAAGAAGACCTTGAAGCTGCGAAGAGGTTGGAGCGTGAGAAAGTGGAAGAGCGATATCGAGAGGCTATGCGCCCTGGGGGGTTATGGACATGGGCGGATGAATAAGACAAACATATTTCTACCTAGGTGTGACTATGACTGGAAACACATCATACAAGATATCTAAAACCATCGGTTCATTTGCAATGCATAGATTTTCTAAGTATCGAAGTAGAACATATATAAGTATGAAAAGACCAAAAGCATCAACCTCGGCCCAAGGCATCTTGGCAGACGCGGGACCACGTGCCCTGTAACCTCCCGAGGTCACCCTCCCCCGGATCTCATCTCCTCCGTCACAGCTATCTCATCATGCTTGTAGCATAAAGATGGAAACCGTCCGCAATATTCAGAATCCAATACCCCCGGTGCTCTTGCAACCATCCAAATGGCTTTCTATCTATGAAGACTTCGTGACCAAGAATGCTAGCTCGGTTGGTCAAGTCGAGTCAGCGCTGAGATCTTTGACTTATATCATCCCAGGTGAGTTCTCATTCGGTTTGATCATGCAGGTGTTGAAGAATCTAACAATTGTCTTCTATCAGGGCGATACCGCGAATCAGAGATACCCTCAGAATGTGGTCAGTGTAACATTGTACTTGCCTTGGAGCGCGCCTGCTGATACCCCCTGCAGTACACTCCGGTGTCCAGTTGTTATCGTTATACCATGATTCTCTTGTTTCGCGGGTTGTTGATCGGCTTCCATCGACTGTCCCCCGGCCTCCGCCCACTCCCCACTCCCGATATACCAAGTACTGGACCTCTCGCTCTTCGCTGTATCGCCAGGTAGCGCTTGCGCTACAGATGCTCCAGTATACCGAGCTTCTCTGGGAGATGGCGGCGCGGCGGCGCGGCCAGAAAACCCGTTGGCGCGTGGTTATATTCATTGAATTCGCAAAGGCAGTCTGCCGCTTGCTTCTTCTGCGGTTGACCAACTCCAGACCGCTCGTCAGTCCCCCACTTCCAGAGCGCGAGGTAGATCCAAGGACGACAGAAGAAGAGGAACCTCAGACTGACTGGAACGGAATGGACACTCCAGTCAGCGAGCGGTCTTCAGATTTAAGTTGGACGATGCCTCGCACGGGACTTTCCCTTCCGTCTCTCCCCGACGTAAACGATGTGTCGAACTATCTCATCTCCAAAGTGCTTACAGCAGATGATATTAAACCACCGAAGGCACTCCTTCACCGGGCGACGGGACAAGGACAACTGGCTGAAGTGCTATACATCCTTCGGCCTGTTGTCTACGCAATGGCGATGCAAAAGTGGAGTGGTGATAGGCGAAGCTGGCGGCCATGGCTTATTGGATTTGGGATGGAGTATGGCTGCCGCCAACTCGCAAAGCGGGACTTCCGTGAACGGGTCGCTGGTGGTCTTCGAGGTCTTACAGGGCTTGAGCGAGAGGAACTGAAGAAGCGTGGATGGTCAATGGGCTGGTGGATGATGCGAGGCGCATTTTATGAAAACATCACCAAGTAAGAACCCCGACTCTGTTCTCCCTCTCTGGGTTCCCTTTTGAATACTGACATTGTGAAATAGGTCGTGGCTACACAGTTTAACTGGAAAGATGAAAGGCAAGCCATTGTTGGACTTGGTGGGCAGTGTTGTGGAGGACTATGAATACCTTTGGGACAACTTCTACTTCTCGACCGCTACACTGTGAATTTCCACAGATCTATTTCACCCATGATACCCATTATTTCTATGTACGAGTCTTTTTATGCTATTCCTTCTTTCGTTTCTTCTCACTCTTGCTGTGCTTCATCAAGTAAGAGCAAGGGGTATCATTAATGTTTTATTAAGTTTCATGTCTAATCACATCACACGGAGCATTCGCATTTAGAGGACCTCAGTTTTTCTGTGGCCATACCAATCCCGTAATCCAACCTTGCCTGTGCTTTTCCCGGGGGCTGAGGATAGTAAGAACTCATCCAGCCGAGGTGCCCCTTCCTCCTCCTCGTCGGGCCAGTCGACTCGAGCTCCCCCTTTCATTTCAAGCATCTCCTTCGCAGTGCCCCAGCTGAATCGACACTCATTGCCCCATCCAAACACAGGGTCCATGTTGCGTCGAAGCCAGCCGACGCACTTGGAGTCCGAGGGATAGCCACTTCCCCAAGTTTCGGGGGTTGGGCGAAGTGACTGCTCAGCTCGAAGCACGGCCTCATACATCACTTCCAGTGCAACATCTCGTGTCACCTTGGCTGCCACACTGGCGGCGCTAACACAGGGATACAAGGAATCGGCCTTCTTTGCCACTGTGATTTTGAGAGATGGAAAGATTCGCTCCAATTTTTGCTGGTATGTAGCGGGGTTCCCAATCGTATCAATGTATACCTCTCGCACATCCACCCCACGGTCTTCAACCACCCCTCGAATGATCTCTACCGTGGCATCCATGGCCTGGGCATTCAGATTGTATACTGCGGTGGGTGATCTCATCATGCCAGAAGAGATGTCGCGCGCCGAAAGTACTTTGACCGCATATCCGCAGGACTCGAACAACGTATCTCCCGGTGTATTCAATAGACGCATCAAGTTCGCTCGCACGGCGGGTGTAAGCACTTTGCTGTCGTCAAAGCTGTGTTTCTCGGTCAAAAGCGAGTGGTGAAGATCAAGAGGGAGATAGAAGGCACCGTAGACCATTGGCCCTAGGACTGGACCACGACCGGCTTCATCGACACCCAAGACACATGGTGTACTTTCAATTGTATCATGACTCGTGGGTGAGATCGCTTGGGGCGTGATTGCATTTGGGCATGGGGTGTAGTACGCATAGGACTCGCCGGAGAGAAGGGGGTTTGAAATCACACTAGGAGGAATAAAGGTGGACGATTCCTTGAGAGGATTGACAGTGGGAGTATTGTTTGTCATAATAGGCATATAGAAGATTGAAGAGTCCGTTAAGAAAAAGAGAAATAGAGAGAGACAGAAAGAAAGTCTTTGAAGCTATAAAGTACAATGCAAATGTAAAAGATCCCCCCGAGTGCACAACGCGTCGACCGTTCGGGATTAGCGGGGGCGCGTGTTGCTCTTCCCACCTAAATTCCGCATTCCTCCCCTCCATCTTGTCTCTCTCTCTCTTTTGACTGCTTTTCTTGAATCGCACCTTATCGTTTGATTACTATTCTAACCTGGTGCTCAACTCTCAATATGGCACGAGGGCCCGGAAAGGCCCGCGACTTCGACTACTCCAATGTGGGAACCAAGGGAAGGTAAGTCGATATGTCATGGTACAATTTCACTTGTACTAGGACTTATGTACTAAATACGTCTAGGCGCACTGGCATATCTCTGAAGGAAGGTCGACGCGACGAACATGGAATGGAAGAAGTAGACGGTCTCTTCTCATCTCCTGAAAAATCGCCTGTGGAGTTGAATGGGTTTGAAGACATGGAAAATGAGTCTTCAGTTGGATCCGAGGGCATGTCAATGGATGAAGGTGGGCTAATTTAGTGTCGCCCCATATCGCCGGCTCATTGCGTGCTGATGTGGATTCTATAGGCAATGCGCCAGATCCCATGGACTTCCTCAAGGGCACAAATGGCTCACGAGCCTCTTTTCTCCCCCCGCCTGCCGCGCGGTCGCCGATGAAGACTGGCCTCACTGGGTCTCCGCGGAGGACACCAGCGTTGCAATCAACCCCAGACCCGCAGGATATTGAGTCGTCTAGTCCGTCCGATGGCAAAGGTTTCGCGGGCGCGCAGGGAGAATCGCGTCAAGACCCATCTCCTCTTTCCACTCGCTCGGTTAATGTGGGACGTTCTAGCCAGAGGAATGGCACACGGCAAAAATCTACGACAAAAGCACAGCTAGCAGCAGAATTTGAGCCCGCAGTCATACACGACTTTTCCGACTTTTCCGACGGGGACGGGGACGAGAATGCATTTGCCGCAGTACAACAAAATTTCCGTGACAGTCTGGATGTTGATTCTGATTCAGCCGCTGCAGAGGAGCTACCTGATTCTCCCGGGCAAGATCAACACGATCATGACGACAATTCATCTACGGCTAACACGACTCCACCTCGGGAAGAACCCGTTGTGGCCTCTAAGTCAACAAAAAAGGCCGCACCAAAGACCGCCAATACAGACAAGAATCAAGTGAAGCCCGCTGCGTCGCGCGGACGTCCAAAGTCTCAGCGCCGTAACGTCGAAGAAGATGCCGACCCCAGACCAACCAAGAAGCGGAATACCGCCAAAGCATCTCCACTGGTGCGTGAACCTTTGGAACCGGAATTGGGTCGAGTAGTTGAGAATTACGCCAACCGCACAGGCCCTTTGAAAGGCCGAAGTTTATATATCCTCAAACGTGAAAACCCCACCGACAACAGCGCAACCCATACTCGATCTGGGCGGGTTTCGGTCCGACCACTTGCATATTGGCGCAATGAACGATGCGTCTTTGGTGACGGAGAGGCAGCCGAGGGACACCGATATCCTCTTTCGACCATCAAAGAGGTCATTCGCACCGAGGAGCAAGAGCCTGAAAAGAAGAAAAAGAAGGGGAAACGCTCAACATCCCACAAGTCCAAGTCCAAGAAACAAAAGGATGACTCTTCAGATGAAGATGAGGATGTTGATCTCTGGGAGAAAGAAGGCGGTGTGCTTCATGGCTACACCCTCAAATGGGATGGGAAAACACAGACCAGTTCGAAGGAAGAGGAAGTCCTAGGTATAGCCTCCAACCCCTATATAGTTGATTCCTTTGCTAAGTCTATCTTGATACAGACATTGCATATGCTCCCTCTGGGATCGAAACCAGGGAAGTCAAAGACTCAACATTCCGATTTGCGAAGCTGCTTAGCTCGTCGTTCATCGGGTCTGGAGTTGTAGAGCTCCCACCTGATGGAGTCAAGAAACCTAAGAACTCGAAGAAAATGCACATGGTCTTTTATGTCTGTCACGGGCGTGTTCAGGTGGATATTTCAGGTGTCCAGTTTAGTGCCGGAAAGGGTTGTGTTTTCCAAGTTCCTCGTGGTGAGTCTCATTTCCCCTGGCTTCTTGATTCGTATCAGTGAATTGACCCCGGGATCCCTTGCTAGGTAACTATTATAGCTTTGCAAACAC